ATATATATATATATATGAATATATTTCTATTTTTACTTATTTGTATGTATATGTGTATGTATGTATCATTTTATATTTCTTTTTAATTTAAAATTTTTTTATATGTATGTTTGTATGTATTTGTTATATGTATGTATATGTAATATATATATGTATATATATGTGTATATATGTATATATAGATTAGTTTATGTGTATATATCTGTGTATATGTATATTAATGTATTTATATATATATATATATATCAATTTTTGTTATATTCATATCAATACTATATTATAAAAAATAAAATAATTTATATTAACAAACGAAAATAATAAACCGCGCATCGCGCGGGTCTTATCTAGTATATAAAAAAATAAACTTTCAAAAGGGAATCAAGATGAACTAATTAAAAAAATGGATGCTCCAACGATCATATATAATGGATATATCTATTTATGTATTAATCCGACTGAAAAGCATTAGTGTCTTTTCATATCCATTTATTCCGCAAACGGAACGGCAAACGTATGCGTATATCTGTAGAAAATCCATACAGATTTATGTTTCATGATTATTTTTTGGGATGTAATTATGTATTCAACGTAAGATTCAAGAATTAGGTGAATAAAAACGGGGTTTAAAGAGAAAGATATATTACGATAACGTGATGTTGGGAATGCTGATATTGGAGGAGGATCAAATCAATCAGTGTTTTGCATTACGTATATGTCTATAGACAGGATTTTTATGAATGCGATGCAACGAGATTCATAGAAATGGATTTAAGTTTAGAAATCTGTTGAAGCTATCTACCAGTGACTATGGAATCGGAAGAAACTCTTGTGATAGAGGAAGAAGTGTAAGAGCTCGCGACCATGTCCGAAGAAACATACCCCATTAGTTTCGGTCCGAATTCGTCTCTCGAGGAGTCTGAGAAAAACCAGTTGCCATCCACATTTGGAACATCCTCGTCGCCGTTCAGATACCTCAGCACCTTCCTCATCGGTGGTCGGAATGCGGGCTTCTGATGGCAACACTGCAAGCCGACAACGAGAGACAATCTCGCTTCTTCGACGGAGAACTCCGATCCGAGTCTCCGATCGACGGCTCGGAGAATCTTTCCGCTCTCGTAAAGCTCCATAGCCCACTCGGCGACGAAGAAGTTTTCAGAATCCGTGGGTTTTCTCCCGCAGACGATCTCCAGAAGCAGAACGCCAAACGCGAAAACGTCCGACGCCGTCGATGCCCTGCCGTTGCGAGCGAGCTCCGGCGCGATGTACCCGATTGTCCCGACAACGTTCGTGGTGTGCGACAGCGTTCCTCGTTCATAGAGGCGAGCGAGGCCGAAATCGCCCAATCTAGGGTTCATCTCGGAGTCGATGAGGACATTGCTCGATTTCACGTCTCTGTGAACCACGACCTGTTCCCATTCCTCGTGGAGATACAACAGCCCCGACGCGATTCCTTTCGCGATCCGGAAACGCGCGTCCCACTTCAAGACGACGCCGTTTTCTCTGGGTTTCTTGTACAGCAGCGAATCGAGGCTGCCATTGGGGATATAATCGTAAATCAACAGAAGATCGGTCTTGTGTTTGCACCACCCTTGGAGATTCACCAGATTCTTGTGCCGTAGCTTTCCTAAGCTCTCGATCTCTGCGACAAATTCTCGAACACCTTGCATGCTGTTCGGAGTTATCTTCTTCACCGCGACCGAATCGGTTGTGGACGATGGTAGGGTTCCTCGGTAAACGGTTCCGAATCCTCCGACGCCGATGATCTCGCCCTCTCTGAACCCTTTCGTCGCAGCGAAGAGGTCTTTGTATCTGAATCTGTGGGGATGATCGATCTCCCAATCTTCTAGAATCTCCTCTTGTTGAATGCGCTTCTTGTACATGACGAAGATGAAGAGTAAGACCAGAAATATCAATGTCACGCCCGATAAAGCTGCGATCAGAGCAATCACCTGACGATTGTATCCTCTTTTGTTCGCGTTTTTCTTCGGCGGCGGAGGGAGATCCGAGAGGTCGAGCTCCTCCGCCGGTTCTCCGCCGCTCGAGAAACTCCAACCCATCACGTAATGAGCGCTCGACTGCTCTCCGGTGGAGGCGGTGAACCCGACAAACATTTCTTCTTGAACGATCTCCAACAATTTTGGAACCTGTCGGGAGATCAAGGGCTGGCTGGGTTTTTTGAAATCCGGTTTCCAGGGATAAACGGTGACGTTGAGCGTTGTGGTGGGTCCGTCGTAGTGTATGTCGGCTCGGATGGGATCGCCGCTTTGGAGCTGGAAATCCTCTTGCCGATCAGGGCCATCGTAATATATGACTGCTGCTTGGACTTCCGACGAGAGATTGTTGAAGTTCAGACCGACGTGGTTGCCATTACTGTCGTTTCCATCCTTGAAACCTTGCACCGTATCGAATTCCACAGCGAAAACGTGATTCGATCGGTCTCCATTGTTGGACCTGCTCAGAAGCCCCAGGTACTGTCCGGATTCAGCGCCAGGACGATTGGAGGTCGGAGATAGCGTGAAGGTGAAGCCAAACCCGCCGTTGTCGGAGCCGGAGTGGATTATGGCAAAGACGAAAGAAGTGCTGAAGGAACTGACCGTGGCGTTGGAGAGCAATCTCACGGGCTGTCGGTAAAACGCCGTTCCGGTGACATTTTTTGACTGGTCGGTGAGTCTGAGAAGGCCATCGCTTTCGATACGGGAGGCTCCTTCTCTCTGAATTACCGTTTCGTTGCCTTTGAATCCCCGGAAAGCGAACTTGGTCTCCGCTGGTGTTGTTCTCTGAGCACGAACGAGGTTTTCTGAGACGTTTAAGAGTAGGAAAGAGAAGAACACGAGTAAAAAACCCATGGATTCTGCAGAACCCATGAAGGTTCCTGACATTTGAATCAAGGTTGCAGCGATGTTTGATTGCTCTTAAGGCAGGGGAGGGAGACTAGACAGGAGTGATTATCAGATATTAATACAACAGCACATGATGTGTAATAAGGCGTCGGAACTGAAGTTAACTAGCAAAGAACGGATCAGAGGAGGAAGATGTGTATGAAGATTTCAGTTTCAAACGCGCTTCTTGGAACGCAGGTCGGGTTATGGTAATATTTAAGACTGAAGCTTGAAGATGAAGAAGAAGAAGAAGAAAACAATGTCAAAGTCAACTGGTGGGATGCGAAGAAGTTCCTTGGCTTACACGGAGAGAGAGAGAGAGATGTGCTGAGGCTGCGTTTCATTTGGAATACCTCCAAACGGGCATTGACCACACGCGGTCGTGGAGGTAATATGGCTTTGGGGATTACTATATAATGGAAATACCCAAATTTCCCCTTTTATAATACAGATTAATTCACGACAAATCACACATAGATAAAAAAAAATAAACAAAATCACACGTGTATATAATTACTTCGACCGTCTAATATACAAAATAACAAATCAAACTGTAGAACGCAGTCACTGCATTGACTTTGACCATTTCTACGGGTCGCATTAATTTTGCAGCCTTTTGAGTTCGTTAGTTAAAACAATGATTGATAGTTTTTTCCATCACTGATGAGCAGTAGATTATTGCATTTACTTTGAGATCCCAGATTCCTGGAAGACCGTGCTTAATTTTAATTTATTACGTCTGGCAACGTAATAAAAAGTTCTATCTCAACCTGTCTTCTCTGTTTGACTTGTAAACAACACATGTCCAATTATTGGTAAAAAAAAGGTCTGATGTTTTTATCTTATTAAAAAACGTTTTTATTTTTCTGGTAAGGTCGAGGGTGACCAAGCTCTGGGATCATCCCATATCACCGGAGAAGGTTACTTTTCATACATCTGATTTCAATAATTCAAAGGCAAAATTCCACAACATTTAAGGTGAAAAATCAATACGAGGCCAATAACATGGGCTTCAGTTATGGGCCTAAACAAAAAGCCCAACATAGACTGGGCCCAATTGTATGCTCCTCTTTATATCAGATTGCAATTCCCCTGAAATCCGGAAATCTCTGCTTCAAAATTCTTTCCCCCCTCTCTCTCTCTCAGTTTTGTTCCTTCGCTTGTTCTTGAATATTCTTCGTTACTTCGTGTCAAAGGGTAAGACAACGAACTAGGTCCCTCGTTCTTTCGGAAAGATTGGGTTTTACCTTGTTTCTGGTTTGATTTCGAATTCGAGCCTATGGTAATCTGAAATTCCGAGGGTTTTGCAGCAGATAGGGGACTGATCTTCTTCCCGCGTCTGAGATGTGGGACCCGTCACAAAAATGCGATCTCGAGGAGTTGCTTTCGTACGGGGACGACCTAATCAAAGTTTTGCGTGACAAGAAGGGATTTGATGTCTTGGCGCAAAGTTTCGAGCATTTGAAAGCCATCCAATTCTCTTGCGACGAAGATTTCAGCGAGATTCAGAGATCTATCGAAGGTCAGGTTTCTGGTTTTCTCGGAAACACATAGAACTCCGAGAGAAAGTGGTATCGATTTTTATTTTTTGTGGGAAGTTGACGGGTCAATGATATCGGCTTGTTAATGCATAAATCGAGTAGCAAATTTCGGTGTTTGCTCAGATTGTCAGAAAAAACTCGACGCTTGCAAGAAAAAGACAGAGGATACGAATTCTGGTATTGTGTCTGACTATGAACTCGAGCGTATTCAGAAAGAGCTAGATGAAGAGCTGGAGCGGGAACGCCTGCTTAAGGAGGAGCTTAGATATGTATAATCTTTCTGCGTACAATTTTCATTTCCTGCTGCCTGCTGGTTCAGTGATATGATATCTTCCTTGTCGTTTGGTTTATTTCAACACAACCATTGCAGACGAAATCAATGATCTAAACGGCCAAAGAGCTCTGGTCGAAGAACAGAGACTTGCTTTAAAGAGAAAAGAGCAAGTTGGCATGAGAGCAGAGTAAGACCCACAAACCCTATTCTTTCTTCTCTTCCCTCGCTGTCTGTTGTCATATCATGTCATGTCGGTTCGTGCTTCTTTCACATTGTTGGTTTTTTATTATTGGTTCAAGTCTAAAAACACAATAAAGAAAGTGGAAGCGGTGGTTTACGGAAGTTATGGAAAGTAGGGAAGTTGAAGAATTGGTTTTAGACAGAAGTTATCGTGTAGTTTTGTATCAGTTTTCTAAGTGTCTATATATATGATAGGAACTATGTTGTAGAAAAATGTCCTTTTTCGTTCAAAGCATAGAGACTATGAAGATCTCTCTGAAAGGATCAAAGAGGATCAATTGTGAGTGAAAGATGTGTCTAAATTATGTTGGTGTTGTATATTTATGTTGTAATAAGAGAGTTTTGTTTTATAAAAGTTATCACACATGCGTGTGAGATAGTTCTGAACACTGTAAGTTTGTGCTGGATGATTTTCTGATTATTGTCTTCTCTTTATCCGCAGGAAAATGCTTTCCATGTATGCTTCTGTGACAAAAGTCATTCCAAACTTGGACGACCCATCGAAAATCTCAGGCAGTATCCTATTGAACTTCCCTCTATTTTGTTTATTTTTAATGTTAAATCTTATTCCATGCTTTCTGTTGGTAATCGATGTTGTGCTATTTCCTTGACTCGAGTCTACAACAGACATGGTTGATCGGGATAAAACGGTAATCGAGAAGTTTGAGTTTGATCAAACCAAGATGACTGCCTATGAAGCATGTAACTGTGTCTGGAACATTGTATACAAACAATAGATTGCGGTTTCTTTTTGCGTTCAGTTCATTGGTTTGATATACGAATCTGCTCATTCTTGTTCTTGCCTGAAACCTTGGTCCGAGTCTCTGACATCAATCTGGTTGACATCCAAGACCCCTTTCGTCCACCACTACTTAGATGTAACAATCTATGTTCTGTGTAGTTTGAGTGACATTTGCCTTTATGGGAAGGCAAGAACCTGGTCTCTCGTGTAATCTGATGATGAAATTTCTTCTGTTTGTGTAACACTTTTTATCTTCTGTAAATATTCTCTGCTGAAATGAATGCTGTAGCTTTTTTTTTTTTTTTCACTCATGTCTTTACATTTGTAGCTTCCAAAATCTCCAGAACCTTCACCTAACTATTGGCTGTTGAAAAAGAAAGCTTCCAGAGTAATCGTCCTGTGCAGATTGTTGTAAGTCCAGTTTCAGGTTTACAGACGCGGAAATGGCAATAAGATGCCCAAAGGAGCAGACTTTTACTGGTAAGCAGTTTCTCCAATTCCAAACATTACAATATTATTGAATGTCTTAGGGAGATTTTGAACCCAATTCTCGGTCAGTAGCGTAGCAAACTAGGTGGTTGTCGCCTAGTTTCTCCACTGAACTGTTAAAGTTCCTCCTTAGCATCTCTGTGGAACTGTTTAAGATACTGCAAACTTCTGGTACTTGGTTCCCTCCATAAGCTTTGCACACATACATCATAAAGTTCTGGTAATCCTGTATGTAATACCAAGAATGAATATAACATCCGGGAAAATTGATTACTGATTGATCAGGTAATTTAAAGGACCGACCTTTTGAAGTGGTTGATTATTCATCACCACCCATGGTACAAACTGATGAGGTGGTTTAAGTTCAGAGGTTTCTTCAGCATATCTCTGTTCCATCTGTGCGTTGTAGTGGAAGCTTCCAGTTTAGTATGTTTACATGAGTATACCCGAAAGCAAATGAAAAAAAGGAACTTTATTTACCAGATTTCCGTATCCATTTGTGTAACAGTCAATTAGTGCTCTGCTCAATCCAGCCATATCTAAACAATTAACCCATTCGTTGAGCCTGTTCTCCAGGGCTAGCCGTTCAGCGCAGTAGATAAACGGGAAATGCTTCTCCTGCAGGTGCGAATTCGCGTCAGCGCACGTGGCTTATGGGGGATTCTCAAGGTAAATAGTCTGCTCTCTGTATATGAACACAGGTACATTTGGTAATTTTGCATAGACTTACCACATCAGGGTATGCGTTTATGGCACATGCATGTATTATATTCAGCGCACACTCAGAGTCTCCGTGCTGAAAGCAAAAGCAACACATATCATTAAATAAACGGATCGTAATAGGTGTATTTGCTTGAAGGGCTTGGCTATTAACTGGTGTCGGACAATGTTTCGGTTACTTTTCGATTAGTAGTTCACTGGAATGAACAGCATGATAAATGGTTGTGTTTAGCGGTTGGCGGTTGGCGGTTGACGGTTGGCGGTTGGCTATAACTGAAGCTAATCCAAGTAGTATAAATTGCAAACATGCAAATGCAAACCATATTTCAGCTCATAATCTCATATATCATGCAGATGGGTTGGGTTGGGCAATGAAGGCTCCGACATAAAGGCTAGACAAGTGGGCAAGAAGAAACCAAACCTGGCAGACAAAGGTGCGGTCTGGTCTGATAAGGGCGTTGCCCCATGGGACAAGACGAAGATCAATGATAGAGATCAAGCCGTTCTCGAAAACATTGGCTAAGTGGTTCACGATGAAGTCTGCACAGTAAGGGCATAGAGTTTCATAGTAGAGACTCAGAGTAACCTTCTGACACAAACAGGGAGATTTCAGGCAGAAGAAAATGGTGAAAATTGCTAGGCAGAGCCTGAAAAAGCCATGATCCGCCATTGGAGAAGATGATGGTGAAGAAGAAAAGAAAATGTTGTGTTGTGCAAAAAGTTTTAGGGGCATTTCATGCTTTATTCTACGGTCGCATCAAACAAGCAAAGGTGCTCATATTTGATTCGGTGGCCCTCAGCAAATGTGCTTATTTGATCTTCCAATTAGTCTAATCGAAAACAGGTCGATCTACTTACTATATTATGAAATTTAAACTTTTTTAAATCTGGAATTAATAGAGAGTTGTGTGCTTGAATAACTTATGATTAAATTTTAATATTTGATTTGTAGAAGTATTTCTTTGTACGTTTTGAAGGAACTTCAATCTTTTTTTTTTTTTTTTTTTTTTATTTCATGCCTCCTTTTTCTTTTTTGGTTTCGGCTTTCAAGTCTTGTCCCGGTGGCCGTACCGGGATAAATTCCTTGAGAAATGCATTGACGTTTTACAGCTAAGCCGTAGTTTATCGCTCCGTTTGGTTTCATGGGAAATGGCATGTAGTTCTTTGACAGTACCGAGAGACGACGTGATGTCTTATACTTCTCTCCCAAGTCAAGAGCTTAGAACGGATATATCTGGGTCACTTCGTACTTCAACGTTTCTGCATCCACCCGATGACTACCTGCTCGTGACACAAAATCAAAAGCCCTAAACCCTTTTGGTACTGGAGCACCTTCGAGTTCTTCAATGTCGTCCATGAACTTCAACCCCTTCCATAACTGGTTCGAGAAACCTTCGAATCCAGTTCCTTCCGTTAATCTCCTCTCGCTTGCCGACTCGTTCTTCCCCAGGTCGCAGTCTCCGAATTTCGCTTCGATTGGGCTACCAAAGCTTTTCAAAAGGTCCAAAAAACCCGATTCTGGGACCGACGAACCTGGTCCGTACATGCAACTCGCCGAGCAGTTCTTAGAGGAATGCGAGAACTTGCCGGATTACAGGCACACACCGGAAGTGGAGAAAATTCTGAACGAAGATCCCGTCTTCGACAAGAAGGAGAACCCGACACAGGAAGAGGTTGAAGAGGAGGAGAAATGGTGGGAAAGATTCCGAGCGAGCCCCGTGGTTCAGTTTCTGGCTCGCGCCGAGGAGATCGCCGACGACATGAACAAGATGGAGCTCGAGGAGAACGACACGCCGTATCGAAGCGAAGACGAGAAGCTGTGGCGCGCCGTCCCGCACGTGCCGGGGTTGGATGGAAGGCCCATGCCGAGGAAGGCTATAAAGACGAAGGAAGAGAGCGATGATAAGTTTTGGGATTTCATGAAGCAGTTCCTCTTCGGCCTCTGGGGTTTCAGACAGCGGCCTTACCCGCCTGGTCGACCTATCGACGTTGCTCAGGCCATCGGGTACAAGCGGCTCGAGAAGCGCTACTACGACTGTAAGTGCGTTTGTTTGTGTGAAACTACGATTTATTTCCGTGTTAATATTGGTGAAAACTGCTTAACTGGAGTGCTTTTCATGGTGTATTGAGTGATTTAACCGCATTCTGGATTTTGGAAACGCCATATCGGTTAGATTAGCTTGTATCGTGATCAGGGTTTTTGCTTCGTGGTTGTCCTGTCTGGAAGAGTACAGCAGAGTTGTCTTCAAACTGATGTCATTTTTAGGTGTAGTCAGTTTGTTTTCTGAGTATTGATCATGTCTGAACGAGTAATCAGTTTGATGGCTCTGTGAGTTTCCAACTCATTGAGGTTTTCTTTAATGAAATCTCTGGGCATGTTTGGAATGTATGATGATGTTCTTTCAGTCATCATGAAGACTGGTAGTTGGTGGTACAAAGACCGGCTTGGCCGTTCTAGAGGCCCTTGCGAGCTTATAACCCTGAAGACGGCTTGGGGGGCTGGAGTAATTGATAGAGACACTTTCATTTGGGGTGAGGACATGGACGAGTGGGCGCCTATTCACATGGTTTACGCCCTGGAACCCGCCATTGCTACTTGGGAAGGTCTGTTTTCCATCCCCGTTCTCGGTGAACTGCAATTATTTTTAGTCTTTGGTTGAAAATAATGGGAGAATCGCTTCACTTGTTTCCTTACCTCGTCTAAGATCTAAGATTTCTCTAGCAACTGAAAACTGTTTTGCTTGTGTTCTTAGCTTTAAATAATGCCCAAGTAACACCTCATTCAACTCATTTTTTGGTTTATGAACTGAAATGGTTATCAGTGAGGCTGGGAGCAGCAGCAACAGCATGCCTTCACAAACTGCAGAAGGGCATACCGCCATGGGTTCCTCTTAAGGGGAGAGAGCCGAAAACATACAAGCAGCTCCAGCAAGAAGCTATAGAGAGTAAGAAACGTGACATGGCGGTGCTCGAAGCCAATGGTGGAGTGTGGCCTGGAGTCAGAACTCCCAGCCATGCTCTTTTTCTATGGGCCAGTGGGTCTGAACTGACGACGACTCTTGAATCTGACCCCCACATGCCCAACAAATTCATTCCCAAACAGCTCAGGTATCCTTTGCTTACAGTCTTCTTTATCTCATCCGTTGCTAAGGTGTGCGTACTTTGCTTGCTTGCTCAATGTTTGAGTGTAGGCAAGAGCTGGCCAAAGTGATACCAGGGCTAAGGCCATGGGAAGTGATAAGCATAGAGCAAGCCATGGATCAAATCAGCTATGGTGGAGAGTGGTATCGTAAGCCACTTGGTACCTTCACCACTGGGCCTCCTTACATCAAGGAATGGAATAGAGACTTCCTGGTCAGATATATTCCCTCTGGTTTCAGCTTTGTTCATGGCTTCCCCTTCCAGTGAATATGAATGAGCTTTGCTGCTGCTTTTTTGGTCGCAGAGACTCTTCCGGATTTTCCAGAGCCTCAGCCTTGATGTAGCTCAGAAGCTGCGGCGCACGATTCCTGGCTTCGACAAGATTATGGAGAAAGTTGAGGCTGATGCCGAAGCTCGGGTCGAACGCAGGCTTCGCCGGAGGGAGGAACAGAAAAGGGCCGAAGACATGATGCATTTGTACGGCCCTACTGAGGAAGATGACGATGGCGACTCCAAAGGATCTAGCTGATTGCTCCTGGAAACTTCGTGTTGTTTTTATGTTGTGCTCCTCAAACCACAGCGTTTCAGCTTGCGTTCGATCGAATGCCTTGCCATTTTTTTTTTGTAACTTGTCCTCTTTCCCTCTGTTTGTTTTTTTTAAACTCC